CAGGGCTTGATTGTTTTTAATATAAGAAGTTCTATTTATAGCAAATGTAAAAGCCCTTTCACACCAAAAAGTGTAATGAATAAACCTCAGGCTGAAGCAAAAGTAAATTCACGTCTGTACAGTAGAACGCAGGAGAAGAAACACTCTTCAGCAATAAAAAACAATGAAGCACAATTGTTAGTTTCTCTAAAGTAATTTTTTGCTTATTAGTATGGTTGAACTGGATCATCAAAGGTCAGCAACAAAGATATTGGTTAATAAAATGGGATTAGATACATTTGTGTTATTTAACATATTTAATTATTGCAGGTTTGCGTCATATTCTGAGTTTGCATTTCACTGTTTTAATTCATTTTAATGAATACTAAATCTGTTTTTTGTGAGTGGGATGAATTACTGCACATTCACATTTAGTCTAGAACTACAATAACATCATGTTCACACAGCGCACACAGAGGCGTACTCCTGATTTCTCCCAATATGAGGACAGGAGACTTATCAGTCAATAAATGGGAAAACAAAGTAACTGGCATTACTTTTTTGAAAAAGTAACTCAGATATTTTCTTGTAAATTAAATAAGTAATGCGTTACTTTACTAGTTACTTGAAAAAAGTAATCTGTTTACGTAACTCGCATTACTTGTAATGAGTTACCCCCAACACTGTATATAATGACAAAGGAATCAGTGACAATGCAGAGACAATGCTGGACTACTGAAACCAGTTTAATCAGGAACATCAAACAAACGTTAATCTTATTTTATATTTTCCCTCTGACAGTGTTCTCACAGTTCGTGACATTAATCTCACATAATTATTTTTTTCTGCAAAGAAGGCAGAAGTGATAAATATGAAAAAAAGAAAAAAGAAAAATAATTGTCACATTTGCGCGTTGAAAAAGAATATTCACATTATTTTTTATACTCTAGAGAAAAATACATTTTAAAATCAGCCTAGAAGGTTCACGGGTAGTACCATAATTAAACTGCATTTACAGTACATTCATTATTAAAACAGTAGGTCACAGTACATCTTCCTGTCCTAAAGAGGCTGCTTCTTTCAAAATTAATGTCACACTAAATATTGATTGAATATTGAAATACTGATTGTACAAAGATGTAAAGCAATGTTAAAAAGTAGAAATAAACTTACTTTTTAAAAAAATATTAAATGTCAGTACATATCACTCACTATAACAGAGGCAAGAAAAAAATACAAGTTTATCTTCTGTTGGTGCTGTGTACTAAGAACAACCATGCATTCAATAAAATCTAATAAACCACCCTATGTACTAAGTTCACTAGTAAGTAAGTTCACTACAATTTGGCTCCATAATCAGACCACAACTCTTCTGTCCAAAAACACCCCAGAATGGTGTGGTGAGGTAAAACAGTTTTTGGGTAATGATACACCTACTGAGATGGATTTGTTTGCAATAAAATAGTTTCTGCACAGGATGGGGAAATTACATTTCTTGCAAATGAGGACAATTGTTTTGGAGCACTCTTCATTATACAGAACATTTAACAGATAATGGTGTTTCCCACAAAGCAGGTCTGTTAGTTTTCCATATGTATGAAATTAAGAAAGGCACAGTGGTTTTACAATATAGCCACGAGAAACCATCTATAAATGCAAATATGAGCCAGTTTTACTGATCTCTACCACGCTGAAAAGACCAGAATAGGAGACCACCTGAATATATCATATTTTGGATACTGGTATCTTCACCAGCCTTCTTAACTAGCTTATTTAACAGGGCTTTCTTGGTCAAAAGCTTTATCAGCTTAGTTTCACTTGACTAGACCAGCATAAGTCAATCTGGACCAGCATGAAAATGTATTCTAGTCTCAGCTGGTCTTTTCAGCAGTGTACATTTTTCAATATTTATTTTCTAACTTTGCAAATAGATAGTCCTCTTTTTTTAGACCCTTTTCAAGTGTTTTAGTTTCCATACATTTTCAGGTCTGATAAATGAAATGGACAGGAGTATCAAGATGGTGTGGCATCTTTATATGACAATAGCCCTGAGGAGACGGAAACACATCATCAGCTCTCGTGGAATAGGGGGTTTGATCTCATTACCATCAAGGCGAAGGTAACGGAGACGTGGACCCTTCTCATCAAGATAATCATCGAGCGCACCAGGTGGACAGATGTCAGAGCTATTCACACCTATGGAAATTACAGAAAAAATACACATCTTACTGATAAAGTCACAGACATGCAGACATAAAACAATTAAGGGTGCATCCAAAGTCTAAAGTATACTTCGGCCATAATTTTTGTAATCAGGAGGATCTGCAGACAGCTGTGCACACTGTCTGGACATGGACATGAAAATGAAGTATACCTGGGCCTTGGGGAGGCTTCCTTGCTTCCAGTCAGCAAATAACTTAACAAGTGGTGTTTTGATTATGAAGGAACTTCTTAAGGAAACTAGTTTCAGACAGGTTTCCAAAGGCACCGTAAAGTCTTTAGAGCTTTAGAGATAATCAAGCAAGTATTGACTTCATTGCTTATTTAATGGCAGAAAGTCATATGCTTTGGATACAACCATAGTGTGACCTTTGTCCAGAAAAGAGCAACAGTATGAACGGAGATACTTTTGAGACCTGTTTACCAAATGATTTTGCAAAAAATACAAAGGAAGTCAACATGTACAACATACAACTGGGCATGTTCAGAACATTGGTTGTGGACTTACTCCTGATCTTATTGTCATCCAAATGCAGGTGCTCCAAGCCAGAAGAGATAACGGGTATCTCTGTGAGCTGGTTATGAGAAAGCTGTAGATCCAGGATGCTGGAAAGATTAAACACATTTTTTGGGATACCTCCATTAGCCAGCTTATTGCGGTTGAGCCTGAGAGACACCACTTTGGGAAGACCCTTGAAGTACTCAGCCGGAATCTTTTCAATATTGTTGCTGTCCAAAAAGATCTGTGTGGTTGTGGGTGGTAGGCCAAGGGGCATGGTATTTAGCTGATTCTTTGCTAAATTGATCTGGATCAAGTTGTTGAGGCCTTTCAGACTGACCTCAGTAACTGCATCATCCTGTAGCTTGTTGCCTTGCAGATCCAGCAAGGTGAGACGGTCCATCCCAGAGAAGACACCGGGTGGGATCCTTGAGATTCTGTTTCTGGAGAGCCGTAACCGCTCTAATTTAGCAGGCAGAGGAGATGGAATGGAAGTCAGCAAATTGTCTTCCATGTAAAGGTGTACAAGGCTGGATATAACCTTTATAGCATCTGCCTCCAGGCCTTCACTTGTGATTTTGTTGCGGTTAAGGTTAATCCACCTTAGTTGTGTGGCATTGCGCAGGGCATCAGCCGACAGGACATCAATAAGGTTGTTCTGGAGGTACAGGTACCAGGTGTAGGGTGGGATGTCAGGTATGCGTTTCAGACCCTTATTGTCACAGTAAACAGCGTTTGGGAAACTTGGAGGGCAGTGGCACTCTTTAGGACATGCCTGTATCTGAGAGATAAGGTGCTCATATGGGATTTCTTCAGAGCGGATTTGGCTGGCCAAAAGTAGGGCCACAAATGCAACCATGAGCCACTCCATGGTTAGCTTTAACCTGACAAAATGATAGAGACAGAGAAGAAGAAACAAACAAACAAAAGCTGTTAACAATATTGAAACCATTTAACAATAAAATTAGAGAATTAATTTTGCTTCCAAACAAGCCTGTCACGCAAGTTCACTGGGCTCGTTACAAAAACGTATGGGCTTCTCCCTTCAGTAAGTTGGCCCCCCTTGTCATAGGGCCTGGAACAATGTTTGTCCCCCATACTAAGAATAGCCATAAGTCCACCCTACATTACCCCAGGTTCTCTCTAAGTGGATAAACTCATTGACAAAAAATGAGGAACATCCTCTAGTTAAGATTATCATTCCCTGTGTCTTCGTCTTCTAAGTAGCAATCCTCTTAAACTCAGAATATGCTGCCAGGTCAACCTTGATTGACTTAAGCATGGCATAGTGCTACTCATCTCCATTCAGAAGACAATCACAAAGAATACAGTCTCTGGCTGTATAAGGGTTCAGGTATGTCCTATTTCTGAATACACAAGGTATACCAAACATGGCATGGTTTTTAACAACACCTGGCCCTCATGTTGCAATATGAAAACCTACATACTAGGCACCCATTGACTGATTTCAGAGAGGCTGATTCGGTTTGTTTTTTCCCCATTTCAAATAGACTTAGCTCTTTCCACACCTTTAAAACACATCTTTACACATTCCTATCTGTCAAATGCAAGTTTGAGCTTTGTCAAGTGTGTATGCAAGAAATAATATGTTAACATATTAATAGCTGAGCTTTCTCTCTCATCTGGTTCAAATTTTTGGTCCTGAGCTGAGCTCCAAGTGACTGTCGGGAGATAATTTTCTATGAGCAGCACTCTCACACTAAACTAGAGGGAAGCCCTGAATACACAGTGATCAGACCAGCTTCACCTGTAAAGGTCTTTCAAAGCAAGAAAAAACTTTTTAAATCATGACCTCCATACTGGCTTTGCAGAGCCAGTTCTGTGGACAACTGCATCAAAAAACAGTTGAAAACTTTAGTGCCATAAATGAAATCTCATCACTGTGCACGTCTGTGTTAAATCCAAGATAAAATAAAGCCATGAAGATTAAAACAGAAAAAAATGACTCATAGCTGCAGTTCTGGAGGGCAAAGGCCTTCTATTGGTATGGAAGAAGTGGACACTGTCTTTGCCCAGATATTTTAACTGTACATTACCATTGCACATTTTTAAATGCTAGAATCTTACCTTTGTCTTCTTGGGGCTCTTCTACTGTATCTCTTGCTGTGGGTACAGATGCCTCAACTCTGAGCTACTTTGCCCTCTCCTGCCCCTATTTGTAGTGTCAATGGCATCTCATGATCCCTTCACAGATGGACACAACCTTAGCCAATCATAGCTTGTCGAGATCAAGAGTCATAATCCTGTGAGGATGGACAGTGTTGGTCAAAAGAAGACATGGGCCTTGGCCCAGTTATAATTAGGCTAATACAGGCCTATATGAGTATTCATCCTTTTCTTCATCGCCCCTCAAAACAACACCTGTCTCCTGTCTTTCGAGTAAACAAATGTCTCGATCAGACCACTGAGTTGATGAATCTGAGTCTATCTATCTATCTATCTATCTATCTATCTATCTATCTATCTTTGCACATCCTTGTTAAGGACTCCCAGTTTGACTGGTAAATGACAAGTGATCTGCTTTATTTTTGGAGATACTTGCAGTTGCAAAATGAGTAATGAGAAAAGTCTAAACATTTGTTATTTAATGTGCACAATCGCCAAAATTTGTGTGCTGAAATTTCTGTCCCCACGGGAGCACAAGTCTGGATTTAGAGGCTGATTTGTAGTCGGCACAGGTAGCCACATATGGTGTCATTGTTTAACTGCCAGGCATTGATCTTGTGTCATTACTTGCTCTCAGTTCCGCTGACGACAACAACTACTTACTCTGTCTTTGTAATAACCTGCAATGGGCTCCTCCAGTCAAAATCTACGGCCATTAGTAATCCAGTCTATTATCCAGCATCTCGTGTCAAGGATGGTGCTGCTCTACATTAGAACCAGTGGTCTAAAGGGCAAAGAGTACACACACCAACCTAATCCAATTACAGAATTCAAAACCTATTATTCACAGGAACCTAAAAGAGCTCTAAACACTGAATACATCTGTGTCGAGGTCTACAACACTAAATCGGCTACTAAGAGCATTAGGCTGTGAAATACAGGACATGACGAGGTGATTCTCAGGGCAGGTTTAAGCCTATTAAAATACTCTGTATCTTGGATATCTGTTTATTCCAATGATGGCATCAATACACTCAGACAAGCTGTGCAATATTTATATTCATCGAATACATCATGCCAACAGGGAAAATATAAAAGACTTGCTACTCTATAAATCTAAGATCACACTACAAGACTAAACCTTATCACCCTATTGTGTTTACAACTAGTCTGCGACAAAAATCCCAGATCATAGCAGGTGCCAGCTTTTCTAATGTCCACACCTGTGAGACTAGACATGGCTTACAGATTTCAGACTGGATTTCTAGTCACCCAGTCTTCAGGTAGATGGACTGTCCTAACTTGCATGAGAGCAACAAGTCGGGGATTAAATAATCACATTGATTGCTTATGATTAGAACAGTCCAAACTGCTCAGTGATAAGTGCTAATGCTAACTGTTAAATATTTGAGGGTATCTTCAAGACACCTTACAAGGCACCTAAACTTTTTGAACTCTGAGACTGGTAAACAATATTTGATATATATGTTCTTTGCGGTTAATTAATATCTTTAATAATAAACTATTTAATTTACCAGCATCTTTGAAGGGAGATTAACAGATGTTGATCATTAAAATTAACTGGAACATGGATAAAATCCATCATAGATGGTAAAAAAAACTATGACTGAGAAATGACAGCATAGTCAAGACAACTGCTGAACATTTATGCTTCAACTGAAAGAAAACACATGCTCTCAAAGAGATTTAATTTCCTGTTTGGGGCAGTTATGTTAATTACACACGGTTCCACATTTGGGTCTAGCTCTGTGGCTAGTGTGCCGTCCAAATGTCCACTGTCCAATTTCACATCTTTATGCTTCTAAGAAACTTGATTTGAAATTTTCAGTATTGTCTAATTGTTTTAGCCAACATAAAAAAACTGCATAAGTACTATCTTCAGTAGAATTTATATTTAGAACATCAGTTAATGCTAGCTTTACAAAAAGATAAACTAATTAAAGTTGAAATAATTAATTGCACATATTATAACACCCCTCCTCCACTGCTTACACAAGCAAAATCTAAGACTTTCCTTTAAAAACAAACTGTCCTGGTACCATGGCACATGTGTGATATTATCATACCATAGTATTTTAATCTATACCATGGTATTTCAAAAATACCATGTGCTATCATGCTATCATGGTGCTATCATGGTAAATGTCTAACACTATGTTACTTTTTTGCCACTTTTGTGTCTTTTTGTCACTTTTGTTATCACTGTAATCACTTTTGTGTTGTATTTCAATGTAAGTAACTAGATGCCAGTACATACATAATACATATGCATTTCAAGTTCATGATCCTGTAGCTGGCTATTATGTTTCAATAAGTTTTTTCCCCCAATTACAATTAAAATCCGAAATTCATTATCTTATACGAAGACATGCAGCAGAAGTACATAGAAAATTGGAAAGTGTAAGGAAAATATAAGGAAGTGGTGTTTAAAATATCTCAATACTCAACTACAGAAAAACCATGAACCCCCTACACCCACCACCTCCCTATTGCGTCACCACCACATAACGTACCAAAAAAACAAAACAAAAAAAACAACAACATGAAAACATTACCTGCTCATCTCAGTCATAGAGCTGATTTTGGTTTGTGCAGGTGGAGGCAAAGTGTCTGGTTCTACTTTTGGGGTTGCAGTCAATCTCTTTCCCGTGTGCTCTCCTCTCCAGTTTGAGTCCAGTCTGCAGTTTCTCCTACTTTCTTTCTGGCCCAGACATGCATCAGAAGACACAGTCTTATTAGATTACTATTGTTAGTGATGTTACTTCCCCAAGGCCAAACCTTTGACATCAGCTGGTGAGCATGAATAAGGGTGTGTGTAAAAGTTTGAAAGATATGCGTGCATTTGTCTTTCCACAAACATGCACTGGTTACTTATTGCTAGCACAGCACTTTTTTCTCTTTTCTTACTCTTTTCTTTGTGCAGTGTGGGTCTGTGGAGCCTTGGGAGGTGGGGACTCCTGTCAAAAATGACACCCTCCAAACAGTTGTAGGTGGCTTTGAGACAACCCTTTCTTTTCAGTGGACACAACTTTGAGGTATCTTTTACACCCTATTAAACTAGGCCGCCCTGTGGCAATGCACATCATCTGGCTGTCATTTTGCACTTATGGAGACTTGTGAAAAGTAGAATTAAGCTAGAATGCAAAAACTGTTGAAAGGTACAGTGATATTAGAGAGTTAATCCTGCACTCTTACCATATCCCAGCAGGTTTCTCTCTCTCCACGAGTTGCGCATAGCTTCACAATGAATGAAAAGGCAGTGAGTAGTAAACAGGCGACATCTGTTTCAACATCTGGATCCTGTTGTAGACGTTTCAAGATGGAGAAGAGGAAAGTGGGATATAGAAGGTCTTTGATCTGGGTAGGACACTGATTAAAGTCCCACTGCACAATTGAAAAAGAGCAAATCTCTGTCCTGTTGAAATTATTCTACTGTCTGGAATAAAAGTAGATTCATGATTTCTGTTCTTAAGTATTTGGAATTATCAAATCTCACACAATCTCACTTGTACAAAGCACACAGGCCCTGTCAGATCTCCAGATGTTTAGCCATGCCCAAAGAGGTCCACAAAAGAAGTGTTTACGCTGACATTGTCTTATCTAATTCATGAACTAATCATTCATGAACCGGTTCACAAAACCAGTCTGGTGTGCATTTCCCAAAAGCAAATATGGTCACAAGTTCCGTCATTACCAATAGAGTTCCAATGGAACTTGCGACCACTGATAGCTAACGATGCTTTTGGGAAACGCACCCCTAAATGATTCAGTGACAAACTGGATTGATCAGGGTCTGGATCTCATGACGTAAAAGAACCTCCAAAACATTTCTCACTTCTTTACTTTACACTTTACACTTTACAGATAGTATGCAACTTCCAACATTCTTATGTAGTCACGATTAACATAGAAGAAGAAATAATTATGACAGAACTTTGGTTCTACCAATTGGTTGTTGATTGGAGTGGCAGATCTGTTGAGTGGCAGATCTGAATAAGTGCTTGCAGTCGATTGTAAAAAAAATATGTGGGGTTTTAGCAGACTAAAAGATTGGAGAATTCTGAGAAAAGTTTGTCATTTCACTCAAACATGACAAATTATGACATTTTAAATTAAAAACGGTTGCATGGATGAATTGTTCACATTGAGAACATTAAGATGAATTTAGATAGGGTGAATTTCCATTTCATGTAGACTTCAAAGACAAATTCCCAACTCTCTGTGCAGAGCCACGCAAATCAAGTTTATAATGCTCTGACAAAAATATCACATATATCAAATAAGCAGATTTTATCGCCTCAGGGGACCTTTGCAAGCCTCTTTTGTGTTTTCACATAGCATAACAGTGCAGCACAACAGTCATTATTCTAAACAACAACTGGAAACTTTTGTGTCCTTTCTCTCAAGAGATCAGCTGTGGGAGGATGAGCTAAAAAAACATCACAATGGTCCCTTTTCCTTACCAAGTCTCTCCAGTGTCTAGTAGACACTGAGTAACAGACTGTGGTTTTCTAGCAAGACCTCAATTGCACACAAAACATATGACATGGCAATATAAAATTTTGATAGTTTTTGCAGTGGCACAGCAACATTAGTAATGCACTTTAGTTAGGTTATGAAATTATTCACTTGGAAATGAATATGTCATCATGTTGTTTTTCAGATGACCCTCTTACTTCCATGAAACACAAAACAAATCAATGGAAACTCACCATGGTTTTTTTTTTTTTTTACCTTGTGACTTGGTGGAAAATAGTGGACTTCTCTAACTCTGCCCCTTCTTTAAAATCGACTGCAGGTATTCAGATATGCCTTTATCCAATCAACAATCGATGGGTTTAACCAAGACCTTCAACAATCTGTTGCTACTTCTGTTACATCATGACTTTAACAGGATTGTCACACTGTTTTCAACCATGCAATGAATTGGAGGGACCAGGGTCTGCCAAGGTCCAGAAAAGACAAAAAAGCTCAACAAAAGAATTACAAGAGTAGCTCATGCAACGCATAAGCACTGATTTTTCATACTATGTTATACTGTAAATGAGCTACTTTTGTGCTCCACGGGATAAACTCATATGGGCTTTGAAGAGACAGAACATCAACATCTAGAACAATAAAAATGATCAAATATTTGTGTGTGTGTGTGTGTTTGATCCTGCAAAATCAGCTTGTGGTGAACTTAAATGCTCAGGCTGCTATAAAGTGGTAAAGGTATTTCAAACGAAAAGCCAGAACTGCCTATCCATCATCTGTTTCTAACACATGGACAAAAGAATTCCCACAGTGTCTCTCTGTATAACTATCACATGGTCACCCCAGACCCTCCATTCCTCTGGAATGCTGGGTTGTCTGCCTGCAACTCTACTGTTTTAAATAAAACACTCATTTTTAGTGCTAGCTCAGACTTGTGCAGAAAGATCCGTAGTTATGTTAAATGCAACTTTTGAAGTGCCTGTCATGAAGGTGTGATTTGGGATAGAGATGGGAGCAGATGGTTGCTATTTTATGATTGTATTTTATGAAGCTATGTCCTGAGCTGAGGAAGGGAATGAATGTTTACAGCTACCTCAAATACTGGCCCTGCGTCTGAATATATGTGAATATATGAAAATGTGAACACCCCTGCTACGCGCTATCAGGGCTGGACTGCATGGGACAAAAAATCGGCCCAGGAATTTTTTGGTCCAGGCGGTCCACCACCATTTCTATATATATATATATATATATAGAATATATCATTGATATATACAGTGGGTACTGAAAGTATTCAGACCCCCTTAAAATTCTCACTCTTTGTGGTCTATACAGGAGACAATCCAATGGGCCACTGGCTGCTCGCTGTCGCTGCGTGATGGTCAAAAAAATAATAATTTGTCGGCCCCTTAAGTGCGTCGGCCCACCGGGAAAATGCCCGGTATGCCCGATTACCAATCCAGCCCTGCGCTA